ATTATAGGACCTCCGCATCTACTTATCACCATAGAAATGCTAATGGTGGTTTAAGATATTAACCTTTTCCCTAACTAACCCTTAAAAGTTTAAGAAACTATGTTGTAACTATGCAATGGTATTTGCATTAGTTAAATTACCTGAAGAGGTATGGCTCTTAGAGGAAGAGAAAGATAAGAAGTATTATTCTCTTGAGAATATACCTCCGGAACTAGCCAAGTTCTATGATATATTCTTAGTAGAAAAGTTAAAGATTATACCTTCTCACTCTTCTTAGGATCACGCCATTGAAATAAAACCTAATAAATCACCACTGTTTGGCCTACTATATCCCTTATCCCAAGTGGAACTTTGTGAATTGAAGGAGTATCTTGACAAGAATATTATATATAGAAGAATTCAACCTTCTAAAAGCCCTGTAGGAGCTCCTATCCTTTTTATCCCAAAGAAAGATAGGGGACTAAGACTATGTGTTAATTACTATAGACTTAATAAGATAATAGTGAAGAACTAGTACCTATTACCCCTTATATTAGAGATTCTTAACTAAATCTCAGGGGCTAAATACTTCAGCAAAATTAATATCTAAGAGGCATACTATTGAATCTGCATTAAAGAAGGAGATGAATGGAAGACAGCCTTTTATACCTAATATAGCTACTATGAGTATATAGTTATGCCTTTTGGCCTTATGAATGCACTAGCCACCTTCCAGAATTACATTAATACCGCCTTATATGATATTCTTGATATCTTTTATGTAGCCTATCTTGATAATATCCTGATTTTCTCCTAGATAAGAGAGGAACACACTGAACATATCTCTCAAGTCTTAGAAAGACTATGGAAGGTGAAACTTTATGTTAAACCCTTAAAATACACCTTCTACTGAAATCATATTAAATTCCTAGGATATATCATTTCAGCTGATAGTATATCTATAGATATGAGATAGGTAGAAACTATTATTGCATGGGAGGAACCCCACAGTTATTATAATATCCAGGTCTTCTTAGGCTTCTGCAACTTCTATTAATAATTTATCAAGAACTATTCCCTGATTGCTTTACCTTTAACTAATCTCCTAAGAGGAATAAAAGAAGGAAAGAAACCAGGATCAGTGAAGTTCAACCTTGTTAAGAAGCTTGTGTTTTAAAAACTTATCACAGCCTTTCAGGCAGTACCACTGTTACAGCACTTTAATTTAGCTCTACTAATTCGGATAGAGATAGATGCCTTAAAAGATGGTATGGCTGGTATCCTCTCCTAACCAGATAAATAAGGGAGATGGCATCCTATTACCTTCTAGTTAAGAAAGTTCATAGGAGCTGAACTTAATTAGGCAATACTAGATAAAGAATTATTTACCATTGTTCATTCCTTTAAATATTAGCATTAGTATACTGAAGGAGCCACACATCAGATTAAGGTTCTCTCTAATCATGCCAACCTGTAAGGTTTCATAAAATAGCCAAAGTTAAATAGCAGACAGGCCTATTAGTTGATTTCATTAATACCATTTGATTTTGTCATTAAGCACCAAAAGGGGAAGGCTAATCCTGCTGATGCACCTACAAGATAATATGGTAATCAGACTATGCTATAGTCTGAGAGTAATAATATTATTACACTAATTTATAGATGAATGGTTGCTATATAGTCACTAAGGACTGAGGGTTAAGATGACTATAAACTAGAGCTGGGTGATGCGCTATTGGAGCTCTGTAATTATGAAAACCACCTACAGTAGGAGGTGATTTGCTAAGATGATCTATAGTGGTTAACTAATAACTAGTCAATGCCATGAGCCTTAGTTGAGTGTGCTACTCAAAAGGAAAATATTTATAAACATGAAACTACTAAAGACCTGAAGGGTTTAATTAAATAATTGCAAACTGAAGATATTAAGGTTTAATGCTAAATCACCACTGTCAAGCAGAATGCTATGGGACAAAAACATTAGAATATTAATTCTAAAGATCTTTTATGATTTAAAGGCAAGTTATTTGTGCCTAATGCTAAATAATTAAGGAACTAATTAATCAGCATTTACTATAATGAACCACTAGCTAGTCATTTTAGCAGAAACTGCACTAAAGCCTTACTAAGGCAAAAGTTCCACTGGACAAATCTATAAAACAATATTAAAGTATATATTAAAGAATATCTAATATACTAAGGCACTGCAGCACTAAGGCATAGGCCTTATAGTAAGCTTAATTTATTACCATAACCATCCCATCCATTCAGTGAATTATTAATGGATTTCATAACTAGACTCCTAATAGTACTATATAGGATTAATCTAGTTAATAGTATTTTGGTTATAGTTGATAGGTTCTCTAAATGGTCACTCCTCTTCCCTATCTTAATAATGATAACTGCGGCAGAACTAGCCGAACTATTCTATTGAGAAGTTAAATTAAAATTTAGACCACCTAATGGCATCATTTCAGACTGAGGACTAATCTTTACCAGTAAATTCTGGGTGAAATTATGCTATATTATAAAGATTAAATAAAGGCTATTAACTGTGTTTCATGCCCAAACTGATGGCTAAATAGAATGGATGAACTAAGTCCTTAAAAGATACCTTTGTTGTTTTGTTAATGAAGAATAAAATAACTAGGTAACTCTGCTAAGAGAAGCTGAGTTTACTATGAACAGAGCAATTAATGTGTTGCTAAACAAATCCCTATTTAAAATCTTACTAGGCTATAATCCAGACTTTTATATATGTGCTGAGGACGGCACTATAGGGGGAGAGATTCCAGCTGTGACAGCACAAATACAAAAACTTTCAGATCTTTGAGAAAGATTGAAGGAATAATGGCGTAAAGCTAGTGAAATATAAGTAAAGCACTATAATAAACATTATAAGGAGTTAACATTAGAAAAAGGATAACTGGTAGGGCTATTAATAAAGAATCTTAAGTTAAAGGTTTTAAGTAAGAAGCTAGCTCCTACTTTTATTAGACCTTTTTATGTACTAGGTGCTGTTGGTTCACAAATATATTGTCTTGCTTTGCCTATAAAATATGATTGAATTTATAATGTCTTTTATGTGTCATACTTGGAACCATGGAATTGGGTAAAGCATGATTAATTACTACCAATGCTAGAGCTTGAAGATGATGATGAATGGGAAGTTAAAGAGATTAAGGATAACTGCATTATCAGAAATGAATAGTACTATTTGATTAAATAGAAGGACTGGCCTTCAGAATACAACTAGTGGGTCTATATTAATGATATAACTAATGCACAAGAAGCAATGCAGAATTATAAGAAAAGAATTGCTATTATTAACTAATGTAAAGGCGCTGGGAAGACTTAGCTAAGGCTAAGTATAATAGATGAAGGCAGAACACAACGCCAACTCAAATATCCTCAAGCACCAAAGGAAAAGACTGATTAATATTAGCTAAGTAAGTCTGGCTGGCAACCACTATTTCATTGCTATAGAAATGGATGCTAATCACCTTAATCTCCTCTATAAAGAAGAGAAGAGAGGTGGCCCAAGCCACATACCTGGTATCACCAGGCATAAGTCAAAGAGCTTTGGCTGAATGATATGCAGCCTAATTAGTAGTGGTAGCCCCAGTATTTAGGTACTGAACATGAGCTATTTTAGTGTGATGACCTTTAAGGAATTTGTTATACTCATTACTCTGTAAGAACATTAGCATTAAGATAGTACTATAGTAATGAATTAACCTAGAAACTTACATGCTGTTCCTTCTTCTTGCCTATAATACTATATAACTAATAGTGATTCTGCTCTATGTTCTTGAAAGCATTAACAAGCCTAAGAAGGGCGACTGAAAAGTCCTTAAAAAGGCTTGGATCCCAGGTATACTAGGGATTAAAGAACCCAGTATACTATTTAATAATAGTAGACAGGTCAAGGGCATTCCCAGCCATACTAGGCGCGGCCTAAGAAACAGCTGTTAACACTAAAATAACACATAGGACTGATGCAATATATAGGTTTACAGAGCAAATGACAGGTATTACACTGAATACACTTTATAGAAGTGCTATCTAAAAGCTTATAATTAACTTTAAAAGGAAGACCCCCTTGGGGGTTAAAGTTCTTTAATGCAGTGTAGAGGTAATATATGCACTAATACTTTTTATAAGTAATAGTATTAGCCATGACGAAAATCAAAAGCAAGAAACATAAAGAGGAAGTAAAATGCAACAGAAATAAATAAGAAATTGTGAGGCTTAAAATAACTTAAGTCTTGAGTATTAATAAATAAAAAGGAACTACAATGTTAAAGAAAACACTGCAATATAAAAGAGAAGCATTAATATGTAAAGGTAAAAGAAGAGAAAATATAAATAAAGATATGATTAAGATAAATGTACTGTGGTTGTCACCTATAATAATATTATTTACTACTACACTACAGTACACAATAACAAAGAACATAATAAATTTTAAAATACATAAAGCTAATATAATAGAAGCGTTACATCTGCCCTACAATCAGTTATCTCTATTAATAACATTATGTTGCGTCAACTATCGTGATATTGTTTACTTCTTTGGGAAAATCTGAAGTTATACAACTCTGACTGAGGACAGTTGTTATAACCAGAGGGGTATAATTATAAAGGCTCAGCTGCAGCCTAGCCACCTAATTATACAGCCACCCCTTGCTTCCTAATTGTTTTCAACCTCCTGTTTTCATACCTTGAGCCGCTTTCAAATCATCGCTGAATGCATCTAGGATAGACAGCAAAGATAAATAGTATCCTCCTTGTCTGGTATTTGAGAAGACAAGGATTAGTTTTGTTTCATATAATCTACTACTCTCTACCATTCTCTTCCATTGATTATCGTCATCAATTCTTACCTAGTCAACAGGCCATCTACCCTGAGACGTAGATCCTTACAAACTTTCTCTAATAATAGCTAACTTCTAGCATCTAGTTTAGAGGATAAGATAGTTAGACTCTAGGATATAGCTTCAGGCACCCTCTAGTAGGTTCTTAAAGGATATTTATATTTAATATACTCTATAGCATTCTCTACTAACAGCAGAATGCTAGTATCTAGTTCTTATAATAATACTATTAGACTCTGGAATACTACTACAGGTGTCCTACAGCAGACTTTAGAGGGTTATTCAGGCTTAGTTTACTTTATTATATTCTCTGCTAATAGCTAGCTCCTAGTATCTAGCTCTAGTAATAAGATAATTAAGCTATAGGATACTACTACAGGCATTCTTTAGTAAACTCTAAAGGGCTAAGATGGGTTTTAGTCTATAGCATTCTTACCTAACTACTATACACTAGTATCTGGTTCCCTAGATAATATAATAAGGCTCTGGAATACTACTATAGGTGAATTATAGTAAATTCTAGAGGGCTACTTAATAGGGGTTAGGTCTATAGCATTCTTATCTAATAGCTAACTTTTAGCATCTAGCATTCTAGCTCCTAAGATAAGATAGTTTAGCTTTAGGATATAGCTATAGAGCCCTAATAGCATACTCTTTAGAAGTATTCACATCCTATTTAGTCTATAGTATTCTCCCCTAATGGCTGACTTTTAGCCTCTGGCTTAGATAATATAGAAGTCAGGCTCTGGGATATAGGCATAGGGTATTTATAATAGACTCTTCATACTAATTTAGGTTAGGTTTAGTCTGTGGTATTCTTATCTGACAGCCATATCCTAGCATCTTACTTAGAAGAGGCAGTTAAACTATAGAATATAGCTATAGGGGCTGTATAGTAGAGTTTTCTAATCTATATAGGTTAGTTTTAATCTATTATATTCTCTGCTAACAACTAACTTCTTATAACTAGCTCCTATAATAAAATAGTTAGGCTTTAGGATACTGCTACAGGCATTTTATAATAGACTTTTAAGGGTTACTTAGGTTAGGTCTGGGCTATAGCTTTCTCTACTAATAGTAAGCTTGTAGTATTAGGCTCTGATAATAAGATAGTACAGCTCTAGGATACTATAATAAGGGCTCTATAGCAGACTCTGGAAGGTTATTTAGGTTAGGTTAGGTCTCTTATATTCTCTAGTAACAGCTGGCACCTAGCATCTAGCTCAGATGATAAGATAGTCTAACTTTAGGACTCTATAATAGGAACCCTTCAGCAGACTTTAGAAATAGAAGAAGTAGTTAAACTCTAATTTTCAGATAACAGATCTTATCTAATAACTAATCTCAGTCCTCTCAGCATCCTATCTAGGTGTGAGGAAAATAACCCCTATCTAATACAGATGATGTAAAGGATTAAGGTATATAGGTGCGATCCAGTTGATCAGATCCGTTAGGATCTGGTCATAATGGCCTTTTGGCTGAGTTGGTAGTGGGTTGGACTGGACACCCATCTATTACAATATGACCAGATCCTAACGGGTTAGATAATAGGCTTTGGGTTCGAATCCAGCTGGAGGTGGATTAATTTCTGGTTCCCAGTCCCTACTAAAGTCGCGGAGATATGTAGGACTGTGGTATGGAATGTAGGGATGGTGATCCCTACCAGTTGCGCTACTGGATTCAACTGCCACCTACTAGCTCACAGGATGACTAAGACTAGGGGCCCTGAATATAACGTAATCCACAAGCGAGCGGCCATTCCAATTGAGCGGCCACTAAACCATACACTTTTGGCCGCCCCAGAGATTAGAGGGTATTTACAACCCCTAAAACATGATTCTATTACTAAATCTAGCTATTCTTGCGCTGCGGACATTGCAATCACTTATAGCCTATAATATGGCAGTCACTGCAGCGTGGGGGTGCCCATTGAGGGCGTTGTTCTGCATCTACTTCCTGGATAGCTTCATCAGCCTGATTCCTCTGTTGAATGAACTCCTGCCCTTCCTGGATAGAGAATCCCTCTGCAGCTTCTATCTGCCGCCTAGATTGCTTCCTATTTTGAACCTGCTTCTCATGTGCGGCACGTAGATCATGATTTTCCTTTGCAAGAAGGATAGCGTTATTCATTGCCATCTCACACCCCTTAATAAGCTGATCTAGCGCAGACTTAGTAGGGGTAGGAGGACTATATGTACGCTCCCTGAGTAGCTTTTTAAGTGTATTTTCCTGCTTCTTCAACTGCTTGAGGTTATAAGGTGTTTTTGGGATGGAATCTGTTAATCAGCTGCCTGGTGGCGTAGGGGTCTTAAGCTGGATATTAAGCTGACTGAGCACCTGTTCTGGATTCAGTGGTATTAATCTAGTTGCAGAAAAGCTGCTTTTGATATTATCTGATGAAAAGATTGCTGTACGGGCCTGCGGATAGGCCTTAAGGAAGTCAAGCTTGTTAATATAGTTAAAACCAACTTGTGTCTTCTCCTCAATTATGCGACCATACGCGCGCTTTAGAGGAGAGAAATAGCCAACATCTAGAGGCTGAAGAAGATATAATGAATGTGCAGGGCATACAGAGTGGAATAATATTATTCTTACTGCAGATATGATTAAATTAAGGTGTTAGATGGCTCCCATGGCCATTAAGAATCAACAGTCGATATCTACCAGTCATATAACTAGTAGTAGTAGGAATAAAGACTTTTTGAAGCCATCATAATCTAATCTGATTAGTTGTCCATCTATTCTCACTAACCTCAATCCGCCAGTCTGCTGGTAAGGCTGTATCTTGATACCAGCCCTCAATATGGACCTTTCCCTTGAAGATAATGCATGGTGGAAGCACCTAGCCAGTAGAGTTAATATACTCTATAGATGTAACCCATTCGCGGTTCCCTGGCTGGATAAGGAAGGGCCGTCTAAGCATCTCAGCTCTTGTAACTATCTTAGCAGTAGCTACTAAGCCCATTGCGAAGCCAGTCTTATTAAAGTTGTAGATATCTTCAGGCGCGATCCCATACTGCATTATAGTGATCTGGACATGATTAAACCACTCTTAGATAATCTTTGGATCTTCACATTTGGCATGCTGGTAATTGTAGCGCCTAGAGAACTGGGTCTTGATCTCCTCATGCCAATTAATAAAGTTATATACCTAGTTCTTGCCCACAGTCTGAGAAATAGGTGATCTGTGCTTTGAGAGGAGAATATTGGCCATTTCTTGAACATGAGATGGCTGAGGGGCTGCTCCACGTTGATCCAAAGATAATATCCACCTAATAAGTGATTCCTCTTCATTCTGCGTCATCTTATGCCCGTTTGCGCGTGCCTCAGGTCGAAAGATATGGCCATCTAGGCGTCGTCGAAGAGTTGTGCGGGGGACATTATAAACACGTGCAGCTTCAGAAATATTGCGAATTTGATTATTTTGATAGCAGATATTGCAAGGATAATTCTTCCCTCCTGCTCAGCTAATTCCCTTGATTTTTTATGAGAGTTTGGAGGCATGGTGACGTGCTAATTAATTCAAAATAATGAGACGCGGTCAAATCTGAAGAGGGTGGCCGCTCGATTGGAATGGCCGCTCGCTTGTGGATTACGTTAGTAGGGACCCTTAGTGCCTCTTAGGACATTCCTGGGGGCCCCCACCTATCTATTCCTAGTTCCTTACAGCTTATCTAAGGCCCGAGGGCGTGCCTCAGAGAGAGGAGGTATAGTTGTAAAGGATTAAGGTATATAGGTGCGATCCAGTTGATCAGATCCGTTAGGATCTGGTCATAATGGCCTTTTGGCTGAGTTGGTAGTGGGTTGGACTGGACACCCATCTATTACAGATGAGCCCCTAGGTACTTTTATAGGAGCTGTGGTGGATAACACTGGGCAGTAAAAAAGCATTACAGCTTCCTCCTGATTTTCAGCCCTTTTATTCAGTGTTCTGAGACGGTATTCTTGCCTTGGGATATCAGTCAGGATAGATTTTAATCATAGGATTCAACACATAATAGGCATCAGCCCTTCTCATTTCCAGCATATATGACTATAGGGTGTGGAAAACAGGGCTTCCCGTCCGCTCAGCCGTACTTAAGCCAGTATTATCAACGTGGTCGGAAGTTATATGCGCCCTTGATGGCCTGCTGCTTTACGGGTGAGAGATACTGAGAAAAATGAGGCTGCTGAGAATTTCGAGGACGAGGGGGGCATATGCGAGTTAGATAAATCAAACTTTGATCGAGTTTCAAGTCATTCTCCTCTTGCCAAGCAATATCCGACCGTTGCATTCCCTACTCAAGGGACCGGAGCCTTCTCAAGCCCCAAGCCACTTCCGTTGTGAGACTCATGTCAGGTTCTCACATACTTCTCCCGTTGGGAATATGTTCCGAGCGAGGAGGGCCTCTTCAAGATACAACCAGCCGTCGAGGTGATTGCGCAGGCGTATTTCGCTTACCTTCCACCCCAAGAATCCATACTTGGATACCTATTTGCCGCGTTTGATTTATCTTTTTTTGTACATACCACAGGGTATCCAGGTTTGCTGCTAGGTGGAGGGGGCCAGAAGCCCTTCCAGGGTCGCTCGCGCGTGTCTTTCTGCTCTAACTCTTCGCCTTCGGAGGGGACAGGCTCGGATGTCTCATCTTCTGAAAGATGATCATTGATAACATCGAGAGGATCTTGAAGAGAGCTCATGCTGACAAACCTATGACACTCAGGTTAAGAATAAGATTGCATATTGGACCTAATATAAGGATATGCATACCACTCGATGCGCGGTGTCCTTGAAGGCTTAATGGAGGCTGTCACAGAACGTGTTAATATGTTATTTTTCTGACGGTGAGTGCCCTAATAAGTACATGCATAGTCTGAAGATAACGTAAGAAGAACTGTGCCATTCCCTTCGGTCTTTCCTCATGGGACAGGTGTGCGGAGAAGCATTGTTTAGTGCAACCGAGCCCTTGCCACCAATTTACCCCACTTTTGACATCGACAATCATGTATGTTTGTCTTGTCGATGTCGATGTCACAACAAATGATGAACAAGTACGTGTCCGGACAGGATTCCTATCAGTCTAGGGTCTCATATCCATAATTATATTTTTCAACACCCTTCTTGTACACCATTTCCCATGCCGCACACTAGCCTCCTAGTTTCTGAAGCGATCGATATTAATAAATGATGTCTTCTTAGAAAATTAGTAAGCGAATAAAAGCGCATCGGGAAATAGAGGATACAAGTTAGTAAAAGGACGAACTTAGAAATGCAAAGTTAGTCTGTTAGATTTGAGTGTCACCCCCCTCGCCTATAGGTACGGCGACAAGCCCTCATCCCTCCGCACCTCTCTTTTTGATAAGTCCAATTTGGCAAAAGGGCTGTACCAGTGTGTGGAAGACCATTATTAGTTTAGAGAGCTCCTAATGGGGTCAAACTACATGTAAATTGCTCAGAATAACTGCCAACGGACCGTCGACCAGATTAATTCCTTCGCCTCGCTCCATGACAATCTCCAGTATCCAGGTGTAGGCGCGGTGCTTCGGATGGCCGTTGCTTTTGTGGATTATGGTCGTCCTAATTGCGCCCGACTCCGGGTATAACACCCCTAAAATGCGGCCCGGAGTTGGTGGCCGCACCCCGAGAGTTCGGTGGTCGATCCCCGGCAGACAGCCGCTGCGGGCTCCCAAGCCAGGCGGTGGACATGGTGTCTGACATGGTGGGTGCATACTACCGATTTTTCATTGAAAAGGAAATATATTTATGCTCTTCTTATTCCTTTATTCTTTGGATCATATGGACAAACAAACCCAGACTACTATACGAGGGGTCCACAGCAACCACTGGTCAGACAAGGTGCAAATGCACACTGATGTAAGCCACCTACAGGGATCGCGTATGCTTGCCAGATTCAGCATAAGCAGGTGTTGCATGTTGTCCGTTCTAGCCATCCATAACAGAATTCTCCGCATTTATGCGAGAATACTTTATAAAGAACACCTCCCTGTGTAAACGTCTTTTGTTACCAGACAAAATCTGCTTCATCATGAAGATCTCGCTTGCTCTCTCTGCTCTTGCCTTACTTGCTTGCCCTGCCACTGCGGTCGACCTTAATCCAACAAAAGACTGTGGCACGCCCTTTAACGCCTGGTGGACCCAGTGCACCCGATCTGCCTCCAACTGCTGCTACTACGCAGCCGAAAAGGCCAATACAACCTGTCCGATGACTCGTGCAAGACATTATGTCTTGCTAGGGCACTGCAGGTCGCTCTTCGAGGGCAGCGCAAGACCCTACCACAAAACTGACTGTGTCACCGCCACTCTTGCTGGCATAGCTTTGCTTATGGGGGATCGTGGTCTTAGCTTTCCTGTCAGTTGTACTATTGATGATATCAAGGACATGCCCTAGGGATTCTGGCGTTTCCCTGTAGGAGGCTTCGTGGAGAACTGTCCAGGAAAAGTCAAGATGGGTATATTAGCAATATTCATGTACAATTTGAGTGCTCTAAGGGAGGAAAGGTCCTGACAGCAAATCAGCAGAATCTCCCTGTGGAGAGGCTCGACTGGTTAACGAAAACTATCTGTCATTACCTAAGGTTTATACAGGGTCTGACCAAGCCTCTTCTGCACCCCAGATCATAGTATATCAGTATACTCATACTCTGATAAGAGAATATGAATATGGATAGGTTACTGAACCTAGTATCTACTTAGAGTAGAACTGAGCAGCTTAGACAGACTTAGTAGTAGATTAACACTCCGCACGGCTACTAGTAACTAGCATCATCGGTTCAGCAACATCCCATACCTCTCACAGGAGGGGCAACTGCTATGATGGCGCTCAATTAAGAAGTGAAGATGCTCTCCATCTCTCAACTATCTCAGCAGCGGTTTAACGGGAATAATAGACATAGGGAAAAGGAGGAAGAAGATAGAACTAACAGTGACTTCCATAATCAACTGTTAAGTCACGTGAGTAGTCTAACATGATATGACTATAGCCACATCACAACGGTGCTCAGTCAGCCAGAGCAGAATTGATGAAAGATCAACCTGTTTCTATCAGAGAAGTGGGAGGGAAGAAGAAAGAGATGCAAATTTTCAGATGTCTGGAAGTCTGCCTAATCCTAAGGCTCACATCGACCAGCCTCCGTTTCTGACTGGTGTTGGCGTGGGCCATAGATATCGCTTCCCACATCAGACGGTCTGTGACATTATGGATTGCACTCTTGCCCTAGAAAGCAATCTCCAATGAGTGCTAATCTTAGTAGCCCCATCCTCTATATTCCCTCTGATGCTTGGCACATCTATCCAAGGCGGAAAGGCAAATTTCTAACATGAAGTTGGGAACCACTTCTAAAAAGGTGTCGTCCAATATGGGATTACTAGCCCTCAGAAGCAGAAGGTTATCCATCATCATCTGGACGACAGGGTCCCTGAGCCGCGTGGCCTTCTGTTGAGCCGTACACCTCAAGCACCGCGGAGGTGAATGATTCTCAGTCTGGAAATTTCATAAAGGACTCCTGGATGTACTCCTTCGCCCTAATCCTTAATCGCTCTATTTGAAAATAGGCGCCTTGTGCGTATATTTGGGCATGAAAAAAGGCCTGACCGGTTCGTGGGTTTGCACTGCTAGTTTCTCCCTGTATGTCTGTGAATGCGTCTGTCCCTGTGTCTGCCTGGAGATCCTTATCCAGGTATGTGTGTGAAAGCTCCCCAGAGATATTCTCGGAGTCAAAGCTGCCCCTTGCATTTGAAGCTTCATAGGTATACGTGTTCATGGTCAATTCTCAGACTAAGCAACTTTAATCACAGCCTTTCCAAGGCCTCCCTGGTTGCTGTACTGTGTACACAACCTGACAGGCCGCATATAGTACTTAGTTAGTTGCATAGTACTTAGTCAGTCGCATAGTTCTTAGGCGTATCCTGAGGTATATTAAATATAGTTTTAAATTAAAATAATTAGTATATAAAGAGATATCATCACATCATTTTAAGCTTGAGATGTTGGGTTGAAAATAGCAGTTTATCTAATCTAAAACTGAACTGAATCTAACCATGCTTAGTTAGTATAGACCTAGCTAGGCCTAGCTAGGCCTAGCAGCGGGTTTTGTGGTGAAAACTGCAACCAAATCACATCAGGTCCGGGTTTGGTTGCAGGTTCTAAAATTTGAACCCGAAACCGCAGCGGTTCAGTGCTGACTAGGCTTGAACCCGCCCGAACCCGCACCAAATGCAACTCTAGTCATACCTAGACTGGTTAAACCCAACCCGGGAACCCTAACCCAACCCGGCCCGAACCCGCCATGGGCCGGGTTTGGGTTCAGGTTCTAGGGCCCGTGGGTCGGTTGGGTTCTAATTCTTAGAACCCGCTAAGGGTTGGGTTCTAAAAACGGGTTTTAATTACAATACCTAGTAATTAGAATACACTAACCTAGGTTAGATTTCTATGTAGAATGCATTATTTACATACATATTTTGGATGCTAGTATAGATGCTAGTATGGTAGAGAAAAATTAAATACATACTAACTAGATTAGGTAGGCGGAGAGTTGATTTTTCGGCAGAATAGAACCCGCTGGGTTGACTATCTAGAACCCGCTGGGTTATGGGCCGGGTTTAGGCCCTAGAAATCTAGAACCCGAACCCGGCGGGTTGGGTTCAAAAGATAGGAGAACCCGGCCCAACCCGCGAAAATAACAACCCTAGTCATACCATGTCATTGATAGAGCTGAACTAACCAAACTTACTTTCCTCTGGATCATAAGACTTTATAAGCAAACTATTGTGATATCGATCAATATGTGTGATTTCGATTAAGTCTACGAGGGTGCGCAGAGGATATTGGTAGATGTCATCAGCATGTATGTAACCATGTAGATTCTTATGTTCCTTCATAGCTTAGGTAGGATTATAAAAGGGGCTAGAATCCCTCAATATCAGCGGGACATGTATGGGGCGGCCTTTGGCCTACCCCCTACCCTTACATGATTTGAAGGCTCTATGCCCCCTGCAATGAATAATTATCCCATCTGGTAGCATGTCTGGATTAGGTGATTGTATGACGCTTGATTCCTAAGAAGGTTTGAAATCCCTGTAAAGGATTCAATCTGAACCCCAGCAGCACCAAAAGACCATAGTCTTAGGACCTTGAGGACACCACTGATGGGTTAATTTTAATAAATGCCTCATATCAATCATCCTTATCCTTAAACATAGTGGAAAATGCCTTAGATTGACTGCTCAACCTCCTCAGGCTAATCTAGATTCCTATAATAGTTATGATGGCACTGCTCATATTCCAATGGTATGGTAGTATTTCGATAGAAAACTAAGCATAGAGAAGAGGGGGAAGAAGTATGTACATAGTGGGGAGATATGTAAACAGAGGGTGGAACAGTGCAAACAATCCAAACAGCCCTGGAGAGGTAAGCGGTCAAGATGGGCAGAAAGCTCCGTGTAAGGAGGTCCGCGGGGAACATGGTGACGGATTGTCACAATAGTGATGATTTGCCTAGGATATCTAGTTAGCTCTTCCCCACAGCCATATTATAGAGTGGATGTCATTGACTATCTAAGCCTTCTGAAAAGTAACTAATAATAGGATTAAGTTGTCTGACTATAAAGGATAAGATAAATGGGGATAATTAAAATCATTTTAATAGATTTAAATTACTATTAATAAGCTTAATTTAGATTTCTATTCCTAACTTAATTATTATTCTTCTCTTGTTAAAATGGATGATATTAAATCTATATCTTCTAGTATAGAGACTCCTCAAACCTAGTCTACCTATAATGGTAATAGCTTTAAGACTAACTAGGATTATCTTTAATAGTGGTTTATTTAGGCAGCTCATGGCATGACTAACTAAAATGCTTGAAATAAACTAATTAAACTGTATAAACACCTAGTTAGACTTCTCTGGGCTGAGCATAATCATCCTTAGCTAGAAGGGGTTGCTAGAGCTTTAACTATAGCCTCTGACCCCTACTTTCTTTCTTCTCTTCACTCTGAAGAATGCAAGCTGTATTAAAAGGTCTCTAACCTTAAGCCTATCCCTATATATAATGGTAAGTATAGTAAGGATACTGCAGCAAAGTAGCTTAAGTAGGTTAATAATTACTTTTGTAATGAATGAACTCTTACTTAAAAGGATGCTACTAATCTTGAAAAGGTTACAGTGGTTAAGCATTACCTTATTAGCTAAGCTAAGGAGTAATGGGATGCTCATAAGTAAAAGGTTAAATATAATCTAATAGCTGCTATTACTACTCTAGATAATTTTAAGCAGTGGATTTGAGAAAACTTTAGAGAGATTAGAGGAGAAATTAAGTATTAGGAAGAGTATAAGAGGTGCACTTAGGGTAATTAGATGGTGTAATCTTATGCTACTTCCCTAGTGGAAGCTACTAAATATATTAAGTCTGGAATTCCTAATAATATATTAGTCTAGAAGTTTATTACTAACTTAAAACTAATTCTGCATGCTTACTAGGCAGAAGATTATAGTAAACTAACTACTTTTAATAATGTGGTTTATTACTTTACTAAGTATAAGTAGGGAGTTGCTTTATATACTTAGGTATAGTTCTAATCCTTTAGTAAGACTAATAATTATTAAATGGACCTGATGGATATTAATTTAAATACTATCCTTGTGTCTCCTAATTATCTAAAGAAGGGAACGCGCAAATGGAAGGCTTAGTATTAAACTAACTAAGCTTACTTTAATTATAGATAGAAAGGCCATAATATGCAAGCTTATATAGCACTAAATTAATTAAAGACCTATTATAAGAAATAATTAGGAAAAGTGAATGACTACTAGATGAGGAAGCACTAGTTAGTTAACTACTAAAGGCTTCTAAAGTTAAGGAGTGTGAGGTATCTGATGACCTTAAACCACCTAAATATCATGATAATTCAAATAGGAATAATAATAAGGAGGGTTGACCACCTATTAAGGGAATGCTTAATGCTGTATAGGTAGATTTAGAACTAGAAGATTATAATTATATTAATGCCTATCTAAATGCTCTTAGATCTGATCTTATCTACTTTCCTACTAAGCTTGAAGCTTCTAGGATAGTAGCCTATATCTAAGTACTGCTAGACTGCAGCTCTAGCTATATATTTATATTAAAATACTTAGCTAATTTACTACCCTTATTATAGTTCTGCTTTTAGCATATGCTTAACCCTTTATAAGTTTACTTACTAAATAATGAAGTTATATATATGTTATGTTAAGTTTAGATCCCTCTTAGACTTAGTAGTTAGCCTTGTATCATCACTCCTTGGGTTCTTAAAATGACAGAGTATGATATTATTCTAGGTTAGGATTAGCTAAGATATATTAATCCTAATATTAATTAGATTATGGGTTAAATGATAATTAAAGGGCAAGGAATAAAGTATATAAATATTAACCCTATTAATCTTTAATACTAAATTAAATCAGGCCTAGAAGCACTTGTAAGTCTTATCTCTATAAAATAACTTTAGTATACCCTTTAAAAGGATTAATAAGAAGCCTGGTTATTTATTATTTAAGAGCTTAAAAAGGAAAAGGAAGAGGAAGTATTAGTAGAACTATCTTAGTTAAGGCCTCTTCTTACCTAGTATGAAGATATGTTTAGGGAAGAGTTGCATCTAGGAATACCTCTAGCTTAGTTAATATAGCATTATATTAATACTAGAGATTCCCTGCTAATAAATATAAACTCTTACCCTTA